TTATTGGGTACATGGCATCTTCCATCTATATTTAATGATGTGAGGGCAAGAAGTAAGGTTTTTGTAGCTCATATTAAAAGTGTTTTTATAGTGAGAACTGTTTTTTGTTTGTTGGTTTGCCAGGAATTGAACCTATGCCCCATGCGTACTAGGCAAGTGCTATACAATTGGACTACAACCCCAGCCTAACGCGCTGTTACGTGAATAGGCCTCTGAAATGAAAAGAAACCTCAAATGGGGAAAGACTCCATGTATCCAACGGAAGACCTGAGCCACATATAAACCTGTTAAGCCTAAATCCTTGATTGGTTTACAAGGTATATGCCTTCTCATATTGTATATAACATTATATAGAGCCTAGGGTTAGCTGTGTCCCTTCATACTTTTGTCTACAGGAAAGGCTGAATTAAAAAAAAAGAAACCCCAAACCTCCTTGTTTAGGGAAAATTAAGTACTAAAGAGAAAGTTATTGATGGGAGGTAAAGTAATACCATATCCAGGAAATTAACTAAGGCAATGATAGCATAGGAACTGAGGCACGGAGAGTTCATCCTTATCCAAGGGTAAATAAGTGGGTTCAAGGGGCTGGAGATGTGGCTCAAGTGGTAGCGCGCTCGCCTGGCATGTGTGCGGCCCGGGTTCGATCCTCAGCACCACATACAAAGATGTTGTGTCCGCTGAAAACTAAAAATTAAAAAATTCTCTCTCTCTTAAAAAAAACAAACAAACAACAACAACAAAAAAAAACTGGGATGAGTCTGAAAGAAAGTATAGTCATTATGGGTGTCTCATGAATAATACTAGCATGAAATTACCTCCTCATCCTCTCAATCATCAGCCTGCGGTGTGTGTGTGTGTTAGATGGAAGCAATGCTCTATCACATCATCTCCACACACTAATCACTACTTCATTCTCCTGGGAGGAATGGACACATTCCAGGAGGGTTTTCAGGTGTGGACATCACTATATACCTTCTCTCCCAGGGTAAATAGCCACCCCTGAGAGAACAATCCATGCATTTCACAATGTCTATTTTCATTATTACAAAATCTTAGGAAAACAGGGGAAAGAAAATCAAAGAGGGAAGGATCCAGAAGGAAGCAGACAGCACAGAAGGGGAGAATAATTTTTCTTACTAAAGGGAGGAAAACATCATAAAGGAGGGACAGGTAGTAATACTAATCCCTGAATTTGAAAGGATTAACGTTGAAAATAGGAAAATTTATGCCGCAGTCTGGCTGGGCACAAATAACCCGAGTCCCCAGGAGGCTATTGTAGATTCACACAGGAACTACTTTATGCCCGAACTCTCACCAGCACTCCACATGCTCTCCCTGGGAACTCTCTCTGCCCTCAACCGGACTCCGCAAGAACTCAACAGGGAATTCCTGGAGAACTCAAAAGTAGCGGGCACCCAAGGCAGCAGGAGCAGCCCTATTGCCGGACAGCAGGGATCCGTATACAACTGAATACATAGCCTGCCCAATCCAGCATCATCCAGTCACAGCAATTATACACAGCTTAACTTAATTATCATCATCCCAATGGCTCCCTGGCGTCACCTCTCAACCACTCCCTCCAGCAAAATGCCAGGCGCCACCCCTACTGGCTGTGGCGCTCAACAAATTTATTTGACAATTAGATAATCATTTGTGACCTTGAAGAAAGAATTTCTGCAGCCTAGGGCAGAAACTAGATTATGAATACTTAAGAAATGAGTCTCTGATGAAGAAGTAGAGGTAAATCACCAAATGGTAAATGAATAAATTGCTCAAGAGACTAAGAGTCTGCTTTAGACAGGGCACTAGAAAGGAAACTGCTGCTGGCTCCATGGGCTTGTGACCTTTGTAGACACACAGGGCCTTGACTTCAGGAATAATCCTCTGATATCAGTCTTGAAATTCTTAATTTTGAACAGGGGTCTTGAATTTTCCTTTTGTACTATGCTTTACAAATTATGCAGTAGGCTCTCTAGGGCTCTGTAGGGGAACTGAAATTTTTCATTTCGCATTCATTCATTTAAATGAGCTTCACAACATAATAATTGCCTATTATATAGCCAGGCACTGTAGACGTCTCTGGAAACAGGATTTTTTTTTTTTAAGTAGTAAGCAAGACAGAGGCAGAAAGTCTTTTAAGGAAAGGTTGTGACCAACCCTCAAGAATATTAAAATGACATATTTTAATTCAGTGCCTTAGTCATAGGACCTTTATGACCTTTGTCAATTTACTCAACTTTCCTAAGCTCTAGTTTTCTTAGCTAAATAATAATAGGTCCTACCTGTTAAAGTTGTTAGGGGAATTAAATGAAATCAGGAACATAAGATGGTCAGCACAGTACAGGGCACATGGTAGTATTCAAAATGTGAGTGACTATCATGAATTTCAAGCACCTACCATCACTTAGGGTGGAGAAAAAAGGTAATTTTAGATGTGGATTTTTTCACTTAAAAATGAAACAAATGTGTTTCATACTGTAAAGGTAAAATTTCTAAGCTGATTCTAAGCTGCAAAAGCTTGAGTTAAAGTGTAAAAGACTGGGCATTGTAAAGCTTCTAAATGGCAAGGCCTGGGCTAAAATGTAAAGACTAGGTATTGTTACAATTCCTCTGCTACCCCCGGAACCTGTAATCTCTGTAAGTTGTTAGGACAATGCGGGAACTGCCCAGTAAATATCTCCATTGATTCCCTGGTTGTTTAATAGCTAAGGGCTCCAGGTAATTTGGCACGTAAGCATCTAGGCTCCAAAACCAATCAGTTTAAATGTGTACCCCGCTTAGGAATGACCAATCACCCCTGCCCAGATTGTTCCCGCCAATGAATGTACTAATCCCGTCTCAGAGTTGTTGTTCAATTTTCCCGCGCCTCATGATGATTTGTTCTGATGTATGCAAAGCCCACCGCCCCCTCCAAAAAGTGTACTTAAGCTCTGCTTGACCTCTGCTCTGGGCTCTGGGCTGCTCTACCTTCTTGAGTGAGCACGGAGCCCCAGCGCGCTGGAATGGATCCCCAATAAATCCCCTTTTGCCAATTGCATGGAGCCAGTCTCTTGTGTGGTCTCTTTCTCCAGACCCCTTTTACAATACATACTTAACACATTGAATAGGCTGAAAATGTACTTCAGTTTTTGACAGAGCTCAAATCTTTGTAATAGGATGTAAGGGGGAGAGATCTTTATTTTGTGTGTTTTGTTTGTTTGTTTACTTTACATACTCCTTTTCAAAAACCAAGATTTTAGAAAATAAAGCAGTTGGCATATCTTGAATATAGAGGCAGAAAACAAAGTTTATGATTTATTACAATTCTTCCTTTCTAAGAATTACTTTCTTCCAGTCCAAAATAATTTCATTCAATTACCATTCTTTGTTCTGACTCTGCCATATCTTGGAAAAATCAACTCCTTCCTTTCTCCGTATAACAGATTCATCATTCATAAAATGAGTCACACAAGCCAGACAATGTTTCTCAACCAGCAGACCTTGGCATGCTTATGTCCTGAATGGATATGAGAAATTGACCCTTCCTGCAATGGGGCAGTCAAAGGAGGTCAGAAGCAGCCAGGGCCCCTGGGGTCAGTACCTCTGGTCATGAACTGCCTTATTTAGGACTCCCCAGGGCATTTTATGCAGGGTGGTCTGGGGTGTGTGCCAAGTAAGCAATAGCCACCATGGTCAATAATCGGCACTTGCAGTTCTGATTGTCTGTGAGCAGTATCTGCCATGTGGGCAATTATATGCAAAGTACCCTACTGCCTATCTTGGACCAGAAACTCTTATCCATGTATGAGTTTATAATCTAGTTGCTAAAGGTATATAACACACACAGCCCAGAGGGTAGTCTGTCAAGGCGTGAGAGAGGAGCTTGAGCAGAGAACAGTTTCTGGTGGGTTCAGCTCTAGGTAATGCCTTTAATATTTCTATACCTTTGCAGGCAGTGTCCTTTTAATGGCATTCAAGCTAGCTGTTTTCTATGCATACATTTCTGCAAGCTAAAGCTTCAATGTAGAAATCTTGATATAAAAATATATTATTGGGTTTGAAATCCATTTGATTATCACATGAAATTACATTTGTCAATAAAAGAAGAGTTGCTACATCCTTTAAATATAATTATAATTGTAAATTTTGAATGGTTGTATAAAATGGTTTTAAATATTTTATTGTGTACTTATGTGATCAGAGTCCCTCAATGATAATGACTATTCAGAATATGAGAAGTTCAGTATAAAAGTCTGGATCAAAAACTGCATAAAGCCATTTCAGCCATAAAACCTAATATCAAAATGTATTCACAGGAACAAGTTCAAATCCATCATTAAAAAACATGGAAATCTTTATTTTAAAGTATTATGCCAATTCTATATTTAATATCTCCCCTAATACTATGTATTTCATTTTTTATCAAAATTATAAACTTTAAAGAAAATGTTATAAATTTAACCATCATTTAGGTGGCTCCAAATCTCTTTCAGTTTACCCTAGTGTGCTGTACAAAAATGATCATTTTCTGTGTCATATGAAAGAAGTTGAGAGGCCTTGATCTAGATTATAAGGCCCTCTGCCACCCATCCCACCCCAGGAACCTCATTTCTGTCTCTTTCATTTCAAACATAGCTAGGGATACAATGGTACATAGCAGCCAAGGTTCAAGTTTGTGTATTACAGCATCAAGAACTGGACCATGGATAGTTGTATGCCACATGATCTTAGAGCTAGAGGGCAGGCTTAAAGCATAAAAAATAGTCAGTGCCTAAAAATCACCTAAAGTTAATAATAATAATAAATCTGGCAGGGTGTGGTGGCGCAAGCCTGTAATCCCAGCAGTTAGGGAGGCTGATGCAAGAGCCAAAAATTCAGAGCCAGCCTCAGCAAAAGTAAGGCACTAAGCAACTCACTGAGACTCGTCTCTAAATAAAATACAAAATAGGGTTGGGGATGTTTTTCAGTGGCCGACTGCCCCTGAGTTCAATCCATTGCCCCAAAAGAATAATAAATTAGGATAATTCCAAAGGGAAAAATTCACATTTATTAAAGGACAAACACCTGAATAAATGGACTAACATACAATATTCCTAGATGGAATGATTTAGTAATCCTGTTTCTCAAGTTAACATACAACATTGTTGGGGCTGGGGATGTGGCTCAAGCGGTAGCGCGCTCGCCTGGCATGCGTGCGGCCCGGGTTTGATCCTCAGCACCACATACCAACGAAGATGTTGTGTCCGCCGAGAACTAAAAAATAAATATTAAAAAATTCTCTCTTTCACTCTCTCTTAAAAGAAAAATACAACATTGTTTAGAAATAACTTACACTATACAGACACCCATGCCCTATAGCAAAGCCAGGTAAATATTCTCCTTTATCACCCTTGTAATGTCTCATAGAATTGCTCAGTGTGGATAACATCTTCCATCATTTTATAATTTTTTTTTTTTTTTGGTAGGTACTGGGGATTGAATCCAGAGGCACTCTACCACTGAGTTACATCCCCAGCCCCTTTTTATTTCAAGAATGGTCTTGCCAAGTTGCCCAGGCTGGCCTGGAACTTGTGATCCTCCTACTTCAGCTTTCCACTGTGCCATTTCCTATGGTCTTTAACAGTGCATTTTTCTACATACCTGGAATTGATCAGGCTATCAAGATTATTTCATAGTAACGAAATTCACAAAATCTTGGAATTAACCAGACACTATAAATTTTTACAATGCATCAAGGCTGTTGTTGGCTACTGAAGTACCTGAGTACTTGTACTTAAACAAGTTTGCTTGTAATTCTGAAATCAGAGCAACAGGAGGAGGCCACTTGGGGGTTATTTCATCCAAGTTACATTTAGGTCTGCTGACTGGTTTTTGCCCCACAACATAAACTTTGTTTCCCAAATACGAGGCATGTCCTCCTTTGGCAATGCTAAATATCAATAAATTCTTCACTTTTCATGTCTCTTTTCCACACTCCAAGCTGACCACTCCCCATTTAACACAAATTTTCTTTTCAAATAATTCTCAATATATCTGATTAGACTTCTAATCTTTCAAGGGAGAGACAGATCAATTCTAAAGGAGTTGTTCATGTGGGTTGCTGAATTAAAATATAAAGCATGTCCTAGCAGGGAAGGGAGGTTTGTCAATTGTAATTTTGTTTAAATATTATTATTTTTAATTTATGGCTGTCATGGATGTTGGGAGATCACCCAATCCTATCCCTATTTTCAGTCAAAAAACTAAAGCTAAAGCTTTTTTTTCAGTCAAAAAACTAAACTAAAGCTGGGGTTATGGCTCAGCAGTAGAGCGGAGCTCCCCTAGCATGTGTGAGGCCCTGTGTTTGATTCTCAGCACCACATAAAAATAAATAAATAAAGTTTTGTGTTCAAATACAACTAAAAAATAAGTATTAAAAAACGAAAACTAAAGCTAAGATCAAATGATTTAAAAATCCCTTGGCTAGGCAGAAAAAGGATTAGATCTCTGGTTTTCTAATTCAATTCATTCATTACACTGAATAACAGAATTGGTAATGTGACTACATGAAAGTAAAAAAATTACTCGCCAAGAGGTAGCACGTCTGGTGAATGTGCCCCTTTAGAAATTTTTAAGCCATTCACAAGCCCCTAAATTCTGTCCCTTAAAACACATGCTTCAGTTCTTTCCTGGATAACTAGAAAAACATTAAAAAATAGGCCTGACAATTCTTGAGATCAGTGAGCATCTAATGAACTGACCTCCATTAGTCCTGACTCAGGTCGTTAAGGATAAAAATTCAGTAAATCAGCCGCATTTTGAGGCCTGTCCAAGGTGCCCCATGATTCATGCATGTCAGTGTCGCATGGATTTTCAGTACAGGCCCTCTCATGTGGGCGTCGCCAGTCATATACATTGGTCCCTAGCATTTGGAAGCTGGAAAAATGATTCGAGGGGTCGAGCCTTTCTTGAAACCTTAAAATTGTAGGATAGAAACAAGTGGTTTTAGTTCAGGCACAGGACTGGAATGAATTCGGAAATGGAGACCGAGAAGCCTGCATGGGGGAGGGGAAAGAGGCGCAAGAAGAAAGGAAAAGGCCTTTCTCTCCGGTGACGCGCGGTCACGAGGCATTCTCCCGACGTGGGCGCTCGCCATTGGCCCAGCCCGAGCTGACGTGCCGGCAATCGCCAGGGCGCGAACGGCGGCAAGGGCTGTGCTGCATTGGAAGTTAGCAAGGCGCGCGCGCTCCCGCGTTCCGCCGAGCCTCCGCCCCCCGCCCTCCTCCCGCCAACCCTCTGCTCCAGTCCCCCTTCTCTCCCGCTTAGCCCCGCCCCTTTCTTACGCCGCCCCTCCCCCACCAAGCCGGCGGCGCGCGGAAAGGGCGTCACGTGACGGCTGGCCCCGCCTCTTCCTCTCGGTCCCATATTGAACTCGAGTTGGAAGAGGCGAGTCCGGTCTCAAAATGGAGGTAAAACCGCCGCCCGGTCGCCCCCAGCCCGACTCCGGCCGTCGCCGCCGCCGCCGGGGGGAGGAGGTATTAGGGGGAGAGTGGGGGGTTGACGGGTAGTGGCCGGCATGGGGGGGGCCTGGCTCGATGGGAGCGGGGAGGCCGGGTGGACCAGGTTGGCCGTCCCGCGCTCTGCGTTGAGACGAGCGGTGGGAGGGGGAGGGGAGCGGGCCTGGGAGCCTCCTCGGGGCCCCTCGCCTGCCTCGCCCTCACTCGGCCGCACAAGTGGAGGCCCTCGGAGGCGAGGCGTGGCTGGGGGGACCTCGGGCGAGCGACCGGTCCGCCGGCTGCGCGGCCTCGGATTCGAGGCCGAGAGCGGCATGGCGGGCCTCAGCAGGAGCGGTTGGGAGGAGGCGGTGGGGGGAGGGGACGAGCCCGCACATCCGGGCGAGCGAGCAGGCGGGCGGCGGCCACATTGACATTGATCCGCTGCCGCGTTACGAAATGGCGCATTGGCCCGCAATGGCCGCCGCCTCGCTGCGCCGCTGAGAAGGAGCGCGGGATTGGAGGAGCAGTCAGGAGGCGGCCCGGTAGATGGCCACAGATGGCTTCGAGGTTCGGGGCGCAGTGCTTTCGCTGAACTTCTGCCGGCAATTTTCTAGGCTTTTACAGGTCCTCTTCGGTGACGAGAGTTTATTAATTCTCTGGCCTGTTCTTCGCAGTATCAAATTGGAGATAACGAGATATCTGAAAAGTTCGCTGCTTTAAAATTCTTTTCAATAGGCTAATTTTGCTAAACAAAGTATAAAGTATAACTACTTAAATCGCCATGTGGATGCAGTACTTTGGAGGATTTGAGAGTAGATGTTAAATAGGAATTTACATTTTTTGATATCCGTTTTTCTCTTTGGGTTGATTCTAGTTATAGTTTTTCTGAGTTTTTGTTTTAGAGGACTGCAAGTGCAGTTAAGTTCATGTGTTTTCGGTTATTTGAGTTTTGATTTATTGTGGACTTAATATGTTTATCAAATCAAATGTAAAGACTTGAGAAAATTGTCAGTAAATTAGTGCATTAGCCTATTAGTCACTTAACTTTTTTTTTTTAGCATGTGACAACCTCTTCAGGTTAAAATACCTTGTCTTCTAGAAAACATTAGGATGTGATTGTGAGTGCATGCGTTAAATGACATTTCGTGTAATTCCTTAAGTCTTTAAAACAAAGTCGGGCCACATCTTAATTTGTTCTTTAAACCCTCAGTATGTTTTGTGCTCCAGTTTATATACTTACCGTAAGTCCCACTTGACAGTTTGTTGTCACTCTATAAAGATTTTTTTTAAAAATTATTTATTGATGTGATGATGCAAATGCATAGTTTTTGCACTGTATAACAAACTGGTTGCAGAAAGAAATGTGGTGGGTTTTTTTCCTAAGGTTTTGGGAAGTGTCTGTTTTAATAACCGATTTTCATGAAACAGATGACTTTCTCTAAATTGCCGCTTGCAACTTTCAAAGTTGTATTACACAGTTTTGTGGTTAAAAATTAAATGCTTCTTGTTGTGCTGACTGAATATTTGAAATGGCATAGATTGGACAATTTCTCCAACACTTCAGGTTTACAGAAAATGACTTCTCATTGGCAACTTCTAAATAACCTAACAGTTGTAGCTTAAAGTTAAGGAATTTTGGGTTCTGGATTTGTCGTCTTGGACTTCATGATTTAATTTAGTTGAAGTGATTTTGTATTTGGAAGGCTGATTTCCTTGCTATCATTTTAGTCAGACTTTTTAACTGAACCAAATATTACAGGTGTTTGTTTTTACTACTTTGTAGATTAAAGATTTGAACTTTTAAAAAATTAGCTTTTTGCAAGAAATAATTAAAATATTGACTTTCTCAGGGCCATGATCCAAAGGAACCAGAGCAATTGAGGAAGCTGTTTATTGGTGGTCTGAGCTTTGAAACTACAGATGATAGTTTAAGAGAACATTTTGAGAAATGGGGCACACTCACAGATTGTGTGGTAAGTTACTAGGGAAACAAAGGTTTAGGAAAGGGAGGGTGGAGGGCCTGTGAAGGTATATTTCAATGTTTTCAAATTTTTATTTTGTAGGTAATGAGAGACCCCCAAACAAAACGTTCCAGGGGCTTTGGTTTTGTGACTTACTCTTGTGTTGAAGAGGTGGATGCAGCAATGTGTGCTCGGCCACACAAGGTTGATGGGCGAGTAGTGGAACCAAAGAGAGCTGTTTCTAGAGAGGTATTTTAATAATAACATGTTTTGTAATATGTGAAGTTGTGAAAGTTTGGTTTTTTTGACTCAACCTATTATTTTATTTGTAGGATTCTGTAAAGCCTGGTGCCCATCTAACAGTGAAGAAAATTTTTGTTGGTGGTATTAAAGAAGATACAGAAGAATATAATTTGAGAGATTACTTTGAAAAGTATGGCAAGATTGAAACCATAGAAGTTATGGAAGACAGGCAGAGTGGAAAAAAGAGAGGATTTGCTTTTGTAACTTTTGATGATCATGATACAGTTGACAAAATTGTTGGTAAGTAACAATTTATTGGAATTTGAGGAAACGAATGGTTTCTTCTGTGAACTAACTTTGCTAAATTGCTGTAATCTTGTGTTGAATAGCCTATGAGATGTACAGTTCACTTTTCATGAAGCACCTACACTTGTGTAACAAGCATGATAATCAAGAACTATTTTTACATCCCAGAATGCTCCCTCATCCCCACTCAGTCAACTACCTTCTTGGCAATGTTTTAATGAATTACAAAATGACACAGGATATCGTTTACATATGATTTGCCAAACATAAAATAACTTTTTTTGTTTGTTTGATTAAAAAATTAGTTCAGAAATACCACACTATTAATGGGCATAATTGTGAAGTGAAAAAGGCCCTTTCTAAACAAGAGATGCAGTCTGCTGGATCACAAAGAGGTAAGTAGGATCATATATACATACTCAGTAAATGTGAGGGGTTTTTGTTAGGTTCTTAAAGAACTTCTTTGCCTGTGTTGAAGGTCGTGGAGGTGGATCTGGCAACTTTATGGGTCGTGGAGGAAACTTTGGAGGTGGTGGAGGTAACTTTGGCCGTGGTGGAAACTTTGGTGGAAGAGGTAAGGGTATACTTACTAACATTAATTACATCTGTATCTGAAATTTAATAGAAATTAAATACATAATTTAAGTCAAATCTTACATTTCCTCAGGAGGCTATGGTGGTGGAGGTGGTGGCAGCAGAGGTAGTTACGGAGGAGGTGATGGTGGATATAATGGATTTGGAGGTGATGGTAAGTTTTTATTTGTCTTTTAATGTCTAATATCTTGATTTTGTTTCTCTACCTTCTTTAAAATGTATTTAAAATGTTATACTGTGTAATTTTAGTCATGACTTAAGTGGATTGATTATTAAATTGTATTTTTAGACTAGTGCCATAGAAAAACATTTTTTCTTGGAGATTAAACATTATGTTCCTTTTGGCCAGTAAGATATATTGTATTTGACAGTTGAGATCGAATTTTAGTGAAACTTTTCCTTGAAATTTTTTTAAGTGAAATTTTAAAAAATGAAAACAGTTTTCATTTCAAGAAGTAATTAAGTATTAATTCTTACTAGCCCAGATTGTTGCTGCACTATTAACCAGGTATTGCCAGGTTTTAGTGTTTATTCATTGCTTTGTTGGCCAGTGACTTAATTGTAATGAAAAACCTGAATTCAATACCTTGACCATCAATTGTGATTATTTTGTGTGGCCTTATTTTATCTTTTTAGGTGGCAACTATGGTGGTGGTCCTGGTTATAGTAGTAGAGGAGGTTATGGTGGAGGTGGACCAGGATATGGAAACCAAGGTGGTGGATATGGTGGTGGAGGAGGATATGATGGTTACAATGAAGGAGGAAATTTTGGTGGTGGTAAGTTAACTTTTATGTAAATACTCATGTCAGTTACATAGTTTCATTACAGATGTTTCAAAAAAGTGATAAACACATTTGATTAACTGTAATATTGGAAAATAATCAATAGGTAGATAGTTTCCTTAACTTTGCTGGCTATTAGTATATTGGTGAACTGTATTCCATCCCATTTAACTCTCAGGCACTTTTGAATTGGTCAAATGGGATCTGCAAATTGAATACTCCCAGACTCAAGATGCCGTTTTGGGTATAGTTTAGCAAAAGTACTTTGAATCGTGATGTTATGAATGCATAATGTAGTAAGTTTGAATCATCGTTCCATGGTACTATAACTTTGTTAGAAATGCAGTGTTTTGGAATTTACTAGTGAAAGTGAGTTCTGATAGAAGGTATTTGTGTCATTTTAAAAGTTATATACTTTATCAGAATCACAGTGAGTTTTGAACAATGAAAGTTTTGATGATGTTGAATATATGAATGAGAGAATATGTATAGAATCTAAGTAGACGTTCCTGTAATAGTCTGACATTTGGCAGTTTATTTAGAAACATGCCCTGCTATCTAGGTCTGAGGGTTTGCTAGGAGACTAGTAGAGATAGTCTGGTAGCTCTATAAAATCTCTTTGGATGTAAGAGTTGGATGTGAGTTGCAGAGAGGGCTACCATGATTGTCAAGATGAGTTACATAAATTAAAATGGGGAAATAATTATTGTATAGGTAAGCCACCAATAAAAATCTTTTGTGATTTCAGGTAACTATGGTGGTGGTGGGAACTATAATGACTTTGGAAATTACAGTGGACAACAGCAATCAAATTATGGACCCATGAAGGGGGGCAGTTTTGGTGGAAGAAGCTCTGGCAGTCCCTATGGTGGTAAATATACTTTATATAAAAAACTCTTTTCACAACTATTTTAATTTAAAATTTTACATATATTTGAAAACTCTACATGTGTATTTTCAGGTGGTTATGGATCTGGTGGTGGAAGTGGTGGATATGGTAGCAGAAGGTTTTAAAAACAGCAGAAAAGGGTAGGTATCTTTAAGTTTTTATCATGATGATAAAGAATATGTGGAACTGTTCACTGAGTGTAATAATTTTTTTATCCTGTATTATTCAACAGGCTACAGTTCTTAGCAGGAGAGAGAGCGAGGAGTTGTCAGGAAAGCTGCAGGTTACTTTGAGACAGTCGTCCCAAATGCATTAGAGGAACTGTAAAAATCTGCCACAGAAGGAACGATGATCCATAGTCAGAAAAGTTACTGCAGCTTAAACAGGAAACCCTTCTTGTTCAGGACTGTCATAGCCACAGTTTGCAAAAAGTGCAGCTATTGATTAATGCAATGTAGTGTCAATTAGATGTACATTCCTGAGGTCTTTTATCTGTTGTAGCTTTGTCTTTTTCTTTTTCTTTTCATTACATCAGGTATATTGCCCTGTAAATTGTGGTAGTGGTACCAGGAATAAAAAATTAAGGAATTTTTAACTTTTCAATATTTGTGTAGTTCAGTTTTTCTACATTTTAGTACAGAAACTTTAACAAAATGCAGTTTTGAAGGTGTTTCCTTGTGAGTTAACAGTAAAGAAGATCATTGTTAATTACTATTTTGTATGAATTTTGCTAAAATTAACTGTAAAGAAACACCTGCTGACTTGCAGTTTAAGGGGAATCTATTCTCCCCATTTCCAAACCATGATATGAATGGGCGCTGACATGTGGAGAGAATAGATATTTGTATGTTTGAAATGTGTGTTTTAGATAAATAGGATTGGGTATTTAAATTAGCGTATTTGTGAATTTAATAGCACTAAGATTATCTTCAAATGAAATATCTCAAAATTCCTATTTGGTTTTTGTGCATTTTCTTTCACAATGTAATCATGATTTTAGTGTGTTAGATTTGCCGAGTCCTAGCTGTGTTTAGAACATCTCCGTTCTACATTTACCTTGGTCACATTTAAACTGCTGCCATAGTTTTTGGGTGTAAAGGATGTCTGCTGCCCTCTATTTAAATTCTGAAAAAGGGTAGTGGATGTTCTCCCCCTCCAAGCTTAAAAAAACATTGTTAACTTATTTAAGATAAGGTCCACTAAGCCTGCTACATTGGAGTAAATAAGTGGGTATCTGTTTTGTTTTCTTTTTAAAGCACATGAGGCCCATATATCTTGATTTATTTTCCTTGGTTTAATTTTCCCCCCCTTGATAAAGCTTTCATAGCAAGAGAATAAAAATCATGCTACTGAACCCTCAACTGGCTGGCATGCTTTCCTGATTTTGCCCTATACATTTTGCTGAATAAAACCAAGGATAGTTTAGGTATAATTGTTGAAAATAACTCAATGCAGCAGAAATGTAGCACAGTTGCTTAGTACAAGCTTCTCACTTCCCAAAGACCTGAATTCCAAATTTGGATAGCCTGAGTTTTTTCTTAAATTCCCAAAGAACACATTGTTATTCTTTATGTATATTTCAACCTAAATTATGTTGGTGTGAGTTATCAATTTGTTTGGAAGACCATGATTGAGAAGAGTTATAGATGATAACAAGGTCATATATACAAAAACCAATGTTTACTGTTTTGCGCCAGCTAGTGCTTAAAATTTCATTCAAGCCCTAAGTATGTGCCCTGCTGTTATTCTTTCTTTCTTTGGTAGTTGAACATTGAATTCAAGATTTTTACTTGGTTTTAAAAGTACTAAGCAAAACAAGCAATAAAAAGGGGAATGGGGCGTGCTAGTGTTTGAATATGCTCTCTTGTTGCTCTAATTCTGTGCCTCTGTGCATTATTAATATTTGGATGCATGCAATGCCAGCATGGAAATCGGTCTTCACAGATACTGCAGTTTTCCAGAAAACACTCACAAACCAATAAATGTAACAGACAACATTCCATTTGTTAATGGGCATATGTGAATAAGCAGTGTAGAAAATAGGCTAATATTAGAAAATGGTTAAGTCCTTAATAACTTCAAGTGTGGTTATATAAATGGACACTGTCAATGTTCATAACTTAAAACCTTGGGTACCTGGTCAAACTAATGCTTGGGAAACATTTTATTAAAATTGAGCTAAATTGTCTCAAGTTTTTTTATTCACATAATAAAGGTTGAAAGAATGGGGGAGATTAACATTTTCTGTTTTTATGTTTGTGAAAAATTGTTTGACACAACCTTGACAGTATCCTTTAATGGCATATGAGGTTAATTGTACTGTTAATGAACTTTGTATGTTCTGGAACTAGTTCAATAGTGAATACATTTTCAGTAAGTCAATGTTTGCAACCTATAAGCAGGTGAAATCTGTGTATGTGACCTGTTTATAAGTTGTATTAGCTTAGTTTTTGTGAACAGTGTGGAAAAGTAAGCCATGAGGAGAGCGATTTAACCAGCTTTAAAGGACCTAAGATGTGCTTTTTAAGCACAGTGTGGATCAAAGGAAACTGACTAAGACAGGACTTCAGCAGCCTTTTGAGTATGGACAAGTCAGCATAAATAAAGAATGACAAGGCAGCAGCAAGAGCTTCAACTACTGAGAAGTGAAGGCATAAGATACTATGATGATAGTAAGCAACTTTCCAAAAGCTAGTTAAATCTGCTTATTACAACTGAAATATCGAAGAAAGTAGCAGGAAGGAGCTCTTCGCCTTTTGGAACATCAATGAGAGATAGTTGCCACAGTCACTAGGTCTAGCATTTAGACCTGCAAGGAAGGGCAATAAGGATTAGGTAAGGCTTGAATTTGAATTTTTTCACTAATTAAAGAGTAATTTTTTGTAAAGCAAGGTAAGAGTAATCTTTTTGATTTGCAGGTTGAATGAGAACCCTACTTGCCTAAATGAGGAATGTCTTTCCTACCATCTTAAATACGAAGGTTTCTGGCTGGGTAAGGTTTGTAGCTCACAGTAAAAATTGATGACACCATTTATTTCCCTACAAATCTATATTACATATTTTGGAATTTCATCCCCTTTCTAGTAGGTACATTGGCAAAATTATAAAGCTGAAAACTTGGTACCACGTTCAACATGTGTTAAACCTAGGACAATTTTTAAAATTCTGAAATGGCCACAAGTGTTCATCTTGATGCAGATGTGGCCCCTTCATGTATACAATTCATTAATATCTTTAGGTTCAAGTCAGTTTTTGGTAAGGGAAAATACTTCTGTGGAAACAGTTTTTGTAACATACATGACTGATGCGTTAAGCTGTCAATCCTCACGCCAGGAAAAATACCTTCAAATGAATTTACAGCATTACCAGGTGGTATGGTTTTCTTCATTCAGGTGGCCTCATGTATAAGTTCTCTTGCATATAAATTCAGGGAATTATTTGAACAAATAGGATAAGCTTGGTTTTGTTCATTCTCGCTACTCTTAGCTAGAAGCAATGGAGGCCTAATTAAACAAATGAAATTACCTCTTTTCCCAAAGAATTATTTGGTTACTATTCAGATCAGTTGCTGATTGTACATAAGGGCTATTTTTGCTGCCACAATAGGGCTTGTTAAAACTTGAGGTTTAATTTACTTTTTAATAGAATAACAATTTCAGGGGGACAGTTGCTCAAAACACTAGTTTCTAAGATGTGAGTTTATTTCCTTCATGAATGAGAGTAGTGAGTTTGCCATAAGGTTTAAGGAAAAAGGTTAGCTCTTATCTAAATTAGGACCGAATAATTCATAGAATTGAGTTAAAGGTAACAGCCTCTTAATGATAAAATTCCTTCACAACATGGTTTAGTAGAACAAATTTAATAAGATAGGAAACATTTTAAAAGCATTCTTTCCAGTTCATTTATGAAATAAAAGGAATTTTTTAAAAATGTAGTTCCACTGTCATTTCTGAAAATTCCATATTGTCTGTCTGTCTCTTTTTTTTTTTTGGTGTTGCTGGGGTTGGAACCCAGGGCCTTTTTTTCTGCATGATAGGTAAGAGCTTTACCACCGAGCTACACCCCAGCCTCTCCATGTTGTCTTTAACTTGTAACACCAATAAAGTAAGGAAATGGGAAATGGTTGAGGCAAACTTCACACTGATATTAAACTTGCAGATTATTCCTTTCTTAAAAGCTGAGGTTACTTAAACTTGTGTCCTATGGGAAGATATTTGGTAAAATCCGTTTGTTCAGGGACTAAATAGAAATAAATTTGGTTAGAGTTCTGGTAAAAGTCACAATTAGGAATATTTCTAATTAATGACAGTATCTCTTGCAGTTCCAGTAACTGATGTCACAAAGTAGTGATTAAGCATGCTAATGTGCAGGGGTAATGTAAGGATTGTTAGCTTACCTAAATATTCACAATTACTTTTGAAGCTTCAATGTTTTCTGATTTTTAAGACTTCAGAGGTGGTCTGTAATGGATTCAACTGTTTAATTTGTAGTATAATGAAATGTTTACAGAAAGAAATTTTTCATTAAAATATTTTTAGAAATGTGTGTGTTTTGTCACTTCATGATGTTCTTGTAACTTAAATGCTATAGGTGAATGTTATAACTTTAGTAATAAAACAGTAAACATGAAATGAGCCTTTTATATAAAGTTGTTTTAAAAAATGTGGGTTTTTTGTTGGTGTGTGTGTGTGGTGCTGGGGATTGATCATAGGGCCTTATGCATGCAACAAGGTAAGCACTCTACCAACTGAGCCATATCCCCAGCCCCAAAGATGTGTATTTTTATTAAATGGAATATAACTGGGAAGTAGATATATAAGAAAGTATTCTTAAAACGTTAAAAGTGTATTGCCACAATTCTTGCTGCTTCACTTAAGTCACAGTGAGATACTTAAGTTGATGTGAGAAATCTAAACCTGGGGGAGAAGAAAGGATTAATTAAGGAAGTAAATCAATGAACAAACAAACTGGGAGAAAAGGGGGTTGGGTGCAGCAGAAATATTCCCAGATGTTAGAAGTGTCTGTTTCTTGAAGTTGGTAAGTTGAATATATCTGGTGAGGGCAAGTTGGGGAAAGAACCTTACTTAAAATTGGTGTTGAACTACACTGCTGCAGTTTTAACCCGAGTTAAAGTGAAATGGATGTGGTTATATATGGCTTGATAATATGGGATAGGGTTTTCACAATTTTTTTAGTAGCATTGCAAATTTGGTTTTCTAGCTTTAACAGCTGTTGATATTTTCTCAGTACATTTTTAAGTAAAATACCTTGTAAATAGAAATCCGATGAGGATTTGTGGCCATTAGTAGTAGAATTATAACATTTTGCTTGTGTTCACAATGGTTTCCTAGCATGTGCAATGGTTTAATATTCTCTGCAGTTAAGTAATTTAAAAAATTGTGTACCTTATTTCATGTTAATACTTGAGTCCCTAAATAACATTCAACAATGTATTTTCTCAATAAGATTAAATTTTATTAACTGCAAAACATTCAGGAGATAACATTTGGATCTTCTATCACTGTTATTTTCTGAAGACTGGTGTTTTGCAAAAAAAAAAACGATTATAGCCATTACATTCATTTTAATTGTTAAAGGATTTGTCAAAAATTTTGTCAAATGTTAACTGGCTACCTGAAGGCTACAGCACAGGTAGTTTTTTTTTAATTTGGTAATTTCAATCTTTAATGCATTGCATTTGTATAACCTTATGTCCTTCAAATGTAAATGTTTGATGGGCTGCATACTTGAAGTTAATCTGTGTTTAGTAGGTGTTGTAAGTGGGTTTTTGGTCTTATTTTTTACATAAAGTTTTGCTTATCAGATTTTAAATAGTATTGTGAGCTTAGAGAAATTATTTGGGTGTTCATATACTGCTGCGCTTTTTTTTTTAATGTAAAAGGAATATAACACTGATCCTGAAATATCATGACATGAAAATGATCTTAAAGAGCTTAACTAGTGTCTATCTTTTGGTTTGTAAGAATGTTGTGGTTTTGTCAATTCTAAGTGTTTTCTGTCCAGGTGTGATGTTGTACACTTGGAGTCTCAGCAACAGAGGCTGAGGCAGGAGCATTTAAGCCACAGTATTGGCCACTTGGCTTGACCCTGTCTTAACTATATATCTGTACTGAGCATGCCTGAAATTTTCATGGGTGACTAGGTATGCCAGTGTCTAAGACATCTTTTTTCATGTGAGATTGAAAATTTTGTTTTTCCTCAGTTCTTCAGTAGTACTAATTTATATCAACAAACTGATCTGACAGTATCTTCAAATAGGAAGAATTCCTATGTTCCAAGACCTGATTGCAAAAATAGGGGCATAGGAGATAAATTTGAACACACTCCCACCTAGCACATCAGTGAAACAGGCTTCAGAAATCTCAGAACGAAAAGGGCATTTACATGAAGTTAAGCAACTAGTATGTCTAGAACAATGATTGGCATTAATGCCTCAGAAGGTATACATTCTCAAACTACAGAATGGAACTTAGGAATAGTTCAAGTAAGTTTTAGGATTTGTTCTAGAAATTTTAAGTGAGAATTGCAATCGAATTAGTACTTAAAATAATTTTGGTAGTATAATATGGTTATATTGTATGAGCTGGGAAAGTATTTTGGAACTCAGTGGATGCAGCTAAATGGAAGAAGACAGTCATTACTAAGTACCAACTAACTACAGGCGCTCCAAATGGGTCTGCTGCTAACATTCTTGCCATGAACCCCCACTTAATTTCAAGTGAGAATGAATACTGTTCTGAGGTTGGAAAAGTCTCCTAGGCGTCCTCAGTCACCACTGCTATCACCACCAGAGGAAATTACTTGACAGCACAATATTCAGGACACAGTATTTGAATCCCAGATCTGTTGTTCCTTGAAGTCATTTTCAATCTTGATCTTAAGTCATCTGAATCAGAAAAGTATTCAAAACACCAGCTATAATATGCTTAATGTGAGCCCAAACTGATAAAAACAAGCCTGAGTGCTGAAGAAAGTTGGCTAGAGGTCATTACAGGAACTAATAGCAACTCGGATTATCTGGTTCCAGAGGTGGTAGAACACTTATCTTGCTCCTGGTGGATTAATAGAACTCGCACTCACTCATTTGGGTACTGGGGATTCAACGCAGGGGTACCCAACCGCTGAGCCACAACCCCAGCCCTATTTTATATTTGGTTTAGAGAGGGATCTCACCTGAGTTGCTTAATGCCTCTGACTTTGAACTTGGAACCACTGGTGTGTACCACCACATGTGACTGGATTAATAGAACTTTTAAATGAGTAATTGATATTTAATGCTTGCTTTGAGTGTCCTGAGTCCAAAATACTTAACATCACATTACAGTTGCTTAGATGAACTGAATGGAAGCCATGAATGATTTGAAAATGCATTTTTAAAAGGACTTGGTAAGGCCTCCACGTCTAATATTCCAAGGTGTCCAAATGGGAGCCAGTTCCCATTTACCTGTGTTCTAGTTTACTCCATTTCTGGGCAATACCATTTATAATAAAGTCCTTTCCTCTCTAGTTTTTTTTGAAATGCAGAATCTAGTCTAGTACTTAGTTGCTCTTAAGAGGATGTTGGCACAATCAGTGCTTGAATATATTCCTGCTTATTGTGGCCAATAAGCTCTTAGGCCGAAGTGAGGGCTTACAAGGCTTGTGTTCCATCCCTCATCCTCTCCTGCCACAATGTGTTCTCTCCCAAGTTCTTGACCTTTAGACTCACTCCATGTTTTCCATCTTTTATCAAAAATTCTTGCTTTTCCACACCTTCAAATGTTGCAACCTCAAGGTAGTTTTAGGTTGCAACACAAATGCTGACATTCCCAAGGTTTTTTCCCAGGTTGGCCTTGAATTTGTGATCCTCCTGTCTCAGGCTATCACTGGATAGCAGGACCTTTATTTTATGTTACCTTTATTTTCTAAGATAATAAATTATGTTTGCTATCCTTCCTATACTAGAATGCAAATTCTAGTACAGGAATTTTGACTTAACATTTCCCTTGTTTGAGATACAGCTGCTGGGGCTAGGGATGTGGCTCAAGCGGTAGCACGCTCCTTTGGTGTGCATGCGGCCTGGGTTTGATCCTCAGCACCACAAACAACGATGTTGTGTCCGCCAATAACTAAAAAATAAATATTAAAAAAAAATTCTCTCTCCCTCTATCACTCTAAAAAAAAAAAAAAGATACAGCTGCTGTTGAACTGCCACTATCTTGATAACCCTAGTACCACATTTTTTTGAAGTCATGAAAAAACAGAACGTCCAAGTGTATCAGATGATTGTCTTATGGAAAATGTTGTGAATAAACTCAAATTATTTAACAGTCATAATATTCCTTTATTAGTATCAGCTCTTAAAAGTTGCTTTTTGCCAGAGCTAAACAATTGAATATAAAAAATGCATTTTTTCGTTCATACAGTATTTGTAAAAAAAAAAAAAAAGTACATAGTGGTTAGTTTTGCAACGATTTACTTTTATCCAGATGTCATATCATCATATAAATCTATGAATGTAACAAATGAGATAAGAACAGTATAAATAAGTTTTGTAGTATTTACACTTATGCAGAATCTAGTCCAAATGGTGTTCTAAGAAATTATAGTTAAAAGTGAAATCACTGATTCAATGTACTGATATTTTAATGCTTTTAAATTTCATATTATCTTCTATACTAGCTTTGGCTATAATTTTGCATAGAATTATAAAGTATATTTCTGCATTTCACATCACAGTAGGAGCTTTTAGTATTACAAAAAAAAAAAAAAAAAAAAAACAAAAAAAACTAGCTCAGAAAATGTCAAATTCTCCCAAACCTAGTTTTTCTTAACATCTGGCTTCTTACTTTTGGGAACAAGGAATACATTGCCATCTCTTGTTTGTTGCAGAGAGTATTCACTAGGAGAATAAGGTTTTCCATCTTCATCCCGTAACATGCTAAAGACTTCAAGATACAAAGTGCTGAGTTGTTTTTTGAGTAGATGGAGGCTTTTGTCATTTTCTCCTTTTTCTTTAAGTAATTTTTCTTTTTCATCTTTTAAATGACCTAAATCCTGCTCCAGTTCTACTATATTTTCCAGTTTTCTTTTTCTGCAATTTTGAGCAGCCACTTTATTTTTACCCCTCCTACGTATATCTCGAATTAATGCAAGTTGGGCTTCATTGAATTGTTCTTTGGACATCATTTCATTGAAGTCATCAACAGGAAGGTTAATGATTTTTTCCACAGGGAATGGGATATGGAGAGCTTTTGCCCTAAGCTCATCTCTGGTGAGATGAGCCTCCAAGCGACTTGAATGTTTGTCTTTTGTGAATGGGGTTTTTCTATGACCAGGACTTAAAGGCATTTCTTTCTTTGGTGTGTTTTCACTGTAGGCATCATGCACAGGTGCACTGTGCACTTGAGATGGTGACAGAGGTTGCACTGTATCCCCAGAATGTATTGGCTGTGTTTTGGGAACATTCTGTTTAACACTTCCAGGGGCATTATCTAACTCTTCCATTTCAGAATCACTGAAGCCAGGTGGTGGGTCTCCATAGATGGAAGACTCCACTGAATGTTCTGGTGATGCCATGCTAGGACTTGTGTTCAGTGAAATGCCAGAGTCAGAATCATTGAATTCTGCTGTGCTTTCAGGATGATTTTGGTTGAAAGCTTTACAGAGTGAAAGGTCAGAACCATACAAAAGTTCAGAGAGTGACTGACTGACAGTAGCAGAGGAGGGCATGCTATTGCTGGTACTAGGTTCTGCTATGAAAGCAGAATAAAATTCATCACCAAAATCTGTGTTTAATGTGGCATCTGAATTTAATGAATTCACTGTCAACTGATTGGGATCTTCTGTGGAGAGGATGCTGCTGAAGGAATCCTCAAAAGCATTCAGAAAATGTGGACTGCAGTTCCCTACTTCTTTCTCCAGTGAGGGGATGGATGGGTAGAAATAATTGTTGTCGATTTCTGTCAGCTTGGCTTCTGGGCTTGGAACGGTGGTAGTCTCAACCAGCTTATCATTTTCAATATTAAGACACTGCATGGAAAAGAAGTTTACACTATATGAACCAGTATTAAGTTTTTTTCCAGTTTGACCCCGGGGCCTTGCACATGCTGTGTAAGCATGCTATCACTGAGCTACATTCCAGCCCCTTTTAAAATCTGTTTTGAGACTGGATCTCACCAAGTTGACCAAGTTGGCCTCAAACTTGTGATCCTCCAGACTCAGCTTCCTGAAATCACTGGAATTAAAGGCTTGCACCACCATGCCCAGATTACCTCAACTTCCATTCTATAATCCAGAGATTAATGTCCATTTTCAATAGACGTATACACCTAAGCGTATGTATTATTTTCAAGAGTTATAGATCTGATCTATAACAGCCCATTAACAAAGTGCATGTTAAGTGAACCTGGGAAGTTCTTATGACTAACTGAAAAGCATTTTCAAATCCTTCCTATGAATAGATGGCATATAAATAATAATCAGAATGACTAATTTAATGGTACATCTTCAGTACTGCATTGTATCTTAGTTACCTGTAATTCTGGAATGGAAAATAGCTCCTGCCAAACTTGCTCAATATCCTGTTGGATGTTGTTTAAATCAGCCATGGCTCCATCAAGAGAAGTTTCAGGTGACTGGGCCTGAGGAGGAGCATTGAAGACTGGGCTCTCGATGTGGCTGGGAATATCAGGAACAAGTGACTGAAATGTAGCTGAAGAAACCTAAAATTGACAAAGCATTTATTTATCTACATGAGTATGTCACCAACAGTGGATAAGCAGTCTCCGAGGCACTATCATACAAATAGAATGAGCTGAGCTGCAGTTCTGTACTTCTATTTACCAACTTCTGACCCCAATTTTATTATTTCTTTTAAATGAATACACATTGAAAGGACTTATTTATGAATTTTGCTGTTAACCAAACGTTTTATACCTCATTGTCATCTACAAATGGGAATGTCTCTGCCAAAAGCTGCATACAGTCATCGAAGTACAGAGCATCTGGTTTGGGAATGTGGGCAACCTGGATTAAAAACGGAAAGGCATAAAGGAAGAAAAAAATTGTTAAATGTTCCATTGTCAAGCTAAATATTCATAATGTTCATAAAATGTTTACAGTCTAGTTAATTGCTTAGTTCAGAAATCAGTTTGATACACAGACTCAAACCAGACTACCTGGATTCAAATCTTAACTCCCTCATTTTTGTTTTGTTTTTGGTAGTGGTGATAGGGATTGAACCCAGGGCCTCCCAAATGCTAGACAGGCACCCTACCACTGATTACACCCTTAGCCTTCCCCTAATGTTTTAAGTGATCTAGGCAAATGTTTAACCTTTTTTGAGCTTCAGATAAAAATGTGAATATTCTTCACTTATATAGAACATTATTTGCCCTAATACCGTAAGCAATGACTATGGCTAGTTTTAGTACTGCCAGTACTTCCATTGTTATTTGACCCTAGGGGGATGTTTCTTTATGTACAAAGTTCTTTCATGTGATTTATGTCCTACTAATCTTACAACAGGTTAAGTATTGAATTTATCAGAAGGCTGTGGTTTGAAAGTTAATATGACATGGTCACAAAAACATAAAGGCAGAGCTGGAACTCAAATCCAAATATTTTCATTCCTCAGTAATGTTTCTTCCCTTAAACCCTGCCATATACTTTCCCCCAAACTTGAGTACTGTGTACCTGGGAGTAGTTTGCAGATCCACTGGTTTCTGACTGGGTGTGCTGGGCTGGCTGAATTGGGAGAAATTCACCTGTCTCTTCATCTAGTTGTAACTGAGCAAAAAAGGCCTTCTCTTGCTCCTTTTGGAGTTGTTCTTGTCTTTCCTTTTCAAGTTTTTTCTGTTTTTCCAGCTCATACTCCTTCTGTCGCTGACTGAAGTCAAATACTTCTCGACTTACCCCAAGATCTATATCTTGCCTCCAAAGGATGTCAATCAAATCCATGTCCTATGTTTAAAGCAGAAAAGGAGAGATCATGGTTAAGATGGTCCACATAGATTAATTCACAGTATGCCATGGTTGATGGTGGGGGAGATTACAAAACTCAAGTGTGAATACAAGATCCAGTGTTCTAGGAAAGCAGTTACTTTTGACTCAATGAACCTATTCACTAAAACAACCAACCTATGCCATCTAATGACAGGTTGAATCACTGGTAAGGTGTAGAGAGAACTAAAGGGGAAAGGGTTACCTTTTGCCTACAAAAAAGTTGGGAAAGGGGTATTGACTCCCTACTAGCCTCCTTCTTGAGAAATTCTAAATACTGTGTGTGGTGGGGGTGGTGGCTAGGGAGTGAACCCTGGATCTTGTACATACTAATAAGCATATGTTCTACCACTCAACCCCTAATTAACTTTAAGAAACAAAGCAAAAAAATACTGCTCTACAAGAAAGATTGATGGTACCTTTTTTCTCCCACATTTTTGTTATTGGTATATTATAGTTGTACACACTAGTGGGGTTTGTTGTTACAATGAATAAGTTTTAAGACTGGGAACAATCTTACAAATGGGATAGTTATTTTGAATTAGTAACACACACTTTTTCCTAATGAAAAATGTATAAAAAGCAGTTTTTCTGATTTATAACTTTAGTTTGGGGAAAATGTCCAAACAGAAAATTTATAGCAGTTTCATTTAATGAATTACCTATATCAAAATGAAATTGAGAATGGAAAAAAGTGAAGCCCTGAGCAATAGGAACTGGGGCCCTAAAGGCCTCAGTTCTGCTTAGGGCTGGCTGTGTCAGCTTGCCTGCCCAGTAGAGGTCTAGAGCTCTACTCTACTTGAAAGGACAAAAATATAACATGGCTGCTTCCTCAGTGAACACTTGAGACTATTTTTACCCCACACTGCAGGATCAGGTCACCTGACCTGGAGACAGCACAGTGGCGATGACACCAAGAATTGATTTACCCCCCTATTATTTCTTTTGCCCACTTCACCCTTCTACCAGATGCCTACAAGTTTCAAATGGTTTTAGTTATGATTAATATTATTTTATCATGCATTAAAGTGTAAAATGTACAAATGTTGTTATATATGTTGATAGCAATGGGCTCTACTACTTTGGACTCCAGGTCAATAGATACTAATGAAGCTGGGGACCTATCTAATGGGAGCCTGGAATAACATTAGGGCTGTCTAAATGGACAAAATGAACAATTTAACTTTTCCCAAAACTATGTATAGTATCTTTGAAGCAGTGAAGCTGTTTGATCCTTCCTCAGGGCAGGTCTGAAATTGATTACTAAACATGTGCAACATGTAAGTAAAAATGATGGAGGCATCTTAATATGAGGCAAATTGGATGATGATGTGTTGGTGAATGTTATTTTTGGTGACTCTGGTGTTGGGTAGTGGGGACCCCATGTACATTTATATATACCTTTTTCACAAACAATTCTGCCACTCAATTCCTGCTATGACTACCTTTCAGTGCACTCCAAATTTATTCAGTATGCTTTTATTTTTAATTTCCCATACACATTCAGAAAAGGACAACTTGATGGATGCTTATCAACAGGAAAAATACAACAGAAAGCATCATTTGGATCAGCTTTAGAACATCCTGTCGCGGGCAATGATCTGAAACAGTGGTAGATCCTGGGAGGCTGAGCAGCTCTCATAGTCCTAGCTTTCCATCTCCACTATGAAGGCAACCAAAAGGTTTTCAAAGTACAAACATTATGTTCATTAGGGTAGGGATTATAATGGCACCCACACAGATGTCATCAAAGTGTTATAAGAGATTTTCCTTTGTGTTTTTTAACTTTGTAGTTATGCTATGAGAGGTCTCTAGAAGAAGAAAAAAAATAAAGCTTAATTTTAAAGCAATTACTTTTGGTTTCCTAAAAACAGATGTTCTAACCAAGTTTAGAATGCAGCAACAATGATTTTCTCCTCCCATCCTTAATACGTCATGCTGTTACTCTAATTTTCACACGTTTCAGAAGGAAAATGCTTGTAGATTTGCTATTGCATGAAACATTGAAAGTTTTACATTGAATAAGAACAGGAGTTTATTAGCCCACACTGCTACTGGGAAGACACACAGGCTCAGTGCTGTGCTCTGTGCTGACCAAACAGGCAGTGAGCATTTCCTGTGAGAAGCTGTGTGACCAGGCACATGACTAACTGCACAAACGACCCATCTCTGCAAAACTTGCACATCGTCTAAAAGGAAATAATTGTCAGGGTGGAGCCCGTAACTAACGAGGACTGAGGAAGAACTGAAATTGCTCTTCTGCACAGAAGCCTAAGATTGAAGAAGTACAAGTGCCTGACCTCCTAACAAGGCCCAGAGGAGGATAGCCACGGTGTTATTTCCTTAAAACTGATGAAAAAGCTTCCCAAGGGCCACAGAAGTGCTGGCTATGAGCCTTCATGTGGCATATGGAGCAAATCCTGCTGCCACTTAAAGAGTCTGAATTTTTGTTGTTCTTTTGTGAATTTGAGTGTGTTGTAAATTATGTTGCAAGTGTGGCTTACATAAAAGAAGACAATAAGAAACACAATTGTTGGACAATTTATGGTAAATCACCATCTGGCCTAATGGAAATATTCATGTTTAAAATGTATTCATCATCATTTGCCATCTGTATAATCTTTCACAGGTTTTATGGGAAATTATTTTGTACTGGGATAAACAAATAAGAAAGGCCTTGAATACAGAATCCACATAAAATGTTTTCTGCAAGCCAATTTTAGTACTTTGAACAAATCAGCATTTATCATGTTCAGGTCATCCAAAATATGAGAAAAGATAAGGCACAAATAACATGATCACCATCCTTAAATAAAACTATTCAATAAACTGAAACTCTGGAATGGTATTTGAAAACTAAAATGGTATGTTTTACACATGTGTAAATGAAGCTCACATCCTATTTCCTTTGGAGAATTGACTGAAAGTGGTGGCACTCTTTTCTTCTAAAAATAAATGCATGTGATCTGTAATCCCAGCTACTCAGGAGGGTTGTGAGTCCAGTCTCAGCAACTTAGTGAGACCCTGTCTCAAATAACTAAAAGGGCTGGTGATGTTGCTCAGTGGTTAAGCACCACTATGTTCAATCTCTAGTACCAAAACAAAAAAATGAATTTCACTAATAAAGTGCTAAAAAAAGTACATATTATGTAGTAAACACAATGAAAACAGATCCTTACTGCTAACTTTAAAAGCAGAATTTAGATAGCATCTTCAGTTACTCTTTGTTTTTTCTTTCACACACTTCATTTTTTTATATTATGCCCAGGTGAATATTCATCTAAAAGTTAAATCTGATTTAGTATTTTCTTCCCATAGACACTGCCCAAATTATTTTTTAAACAAAACTAGACAGAACATGGATCATACTCTCTTGTATGAATGAATTACACAAAAACAATTGAGGGCCCCAGTGGCCGGGGGGCCGGCTGAGACAAGAGGATCATGAGTTCAAAGCCTGCCTCAGCAAAAGCACTAAGCAACTGAGTGAGACCCTGTCTCTAAATAAAACACAAAATAGGGCTGGGTATATGGCTCAGTGGGTGAGTGCCCCTGAGTTCAATCCCTGGTACCTGTCCCACCCCACCCAAAGAAAATTTAGGGCAAGCCTGAATTTTGAGGAATTCATTAAACAACAAAAAAGATCCTAATTTACAAGGTTCTACTTTACAGTCCTAATGCTTATTAAAATGATACTAAGCAGAAGTGGTTTTAAAATGCTTCTTTTGAAGACTATTATATTTCATGAATATTTATGTACCTATATACTTTTCTAGGGCTTCTATCCTTCATGACATTACAAGATACACAGTGCAGTGCTAATTGTTTTCTTAGTGAGAATTCTAGATCATCCAAAATATCCAAAAAGATAAAGTACAGATGGTAGGTCATTCTTTGTAGTTTGTCCACATTCAAGTACTTTTGAGTTTTTACAAGACTGATTTGCTAATTCTTGCTTGTGTTGCTACAATAATTGTAGATAATTAAAATTATAAAATGATTATAAATATAGATTAAGAGAATGTTGGAGACAAAAAGCTATCTAAGCTAAGTAGAAATGTTGCTCTGTTTATTTCTAATTATAGCACAATTATAAAAAATACTGATCTAGCAACCAGTTGTAATACATCAGCAGAATTCTTAATAGGTCTTAAGAGTTACCACTAAACCAAATTTTCCTTGTAAAGAAATCTTACTCAGGAATTCTTCCTCAGTCTTCAACAGCTAGCTAGGGATATTTTACCCACATAAAAATTCCCGAATTCACACCAAGAGATAGATTATTCAATAAGTTAAAAGGCAAGGTCACTGTGTGCCACTCCCTGGATTGTAGAGCCATTACTATCTTTCTCCTCTTGTGTCTTTCAACTAGAGTGGTCCAGTTTCCTCAGACTGGCAGGTTACTATACACGGACATTTTCATGTGCCTGCTTCCTGTTCACAAACAAGTTTCTCAGCAATGACTCAATCTAAGAAATATGATCCAAGCAGCTTACTGGAACTCTCACCCATTACCCTTGTCTATAAACTCTAAAGCATGATGCAAAGATAAAGCAAAACTGAAAAGTGGTTTTTCTCAAGAGGAACATATATAGTTTAGTCAAAAAGAAATCAGAAGAGTTAATTTCCAAAATAGTAGGTGACCCCATCTGCTAAAAAATCTGCACAGCTCCAGCTTTTCTGTGAGAGGTTTCACAGCTGAGTTCCAATAGGGCTGGTTTTGGTATTTGTATTGGAGCAAGATCCTGCTGCTAGGCTTCTTAGGGGTTATACAAAGATTGTCACTTCTTTGCCAAGAGAATGGCTTGAACTGACAAAGAACTTTGAGGATATTTTGAGTGAGCTATACTGAGCATTCAGTTTTGGAAGTCTCTCCTCCATGTATGAAAGGCACACTTGGATAGATGTTCCACTACTATCTGAATGATCCTACAGGAAAACACACACGTATACCCCATGTT